CTGTTTCTGTAATTTCTGTTGTTGTCATTGTTGTTGTTGTTGTTGTTATGCAATATTAGTCTGTTGTTTGAAATTTTCTGTCCAGCCGATCACTGGTATTCCCCAGCCTTCCCGGAGTTGCTAAGCTATGTACCAACTGTCATCTATAAGAATTTCAAAGATTTGTTTATTCAGTTTGTTCCTTTGTTTTGAGTCCTCACTTTTTTCTTTTTGATGTCTCTTTTGTTTCTTTCTCATACGTAATCTGAGCTTTGTGATAAACACAAAGATCATTAGCACAAAAACCTTTTTAAAGTATACACGTTACATAAATAAACCAGTAGTTATTAGACAAGAAAAAAATAATCATTAACGATCATCTCAAGCCTCGAACGCGTTGGGCATACCCAACAAAATAGACACATATATAAACAGCACCAACAACAAAATTAGTTGGCAAGAAAGAACTCCTCTACTATTTACAGATCACTTAGATCACATACAAACATAGTACTCAGAAATTGACTACACATAACAGATTAGATAAATTTAGCAGAAAGCACCAATAACCAATCTGATAAACAAATATACGCCGTATTTATCATTAAACTATAACCTCGAGAAATGGGAAGAAAACAAAGCAAACAAACAAATAGACAAAAAAACCCTCTAACAAGCAATGGAGAAAAAATTTGGACAAAAAGTGCACTGTTCTGTTGTATCCTAAAAGTGCACAGCACAGGGTACAAATTTCAAATTCCAAAAAAAAGAATTGAAGAAAGCTGTCGCTAGAAGAAAAAAAAAGGAGAGAACAATTTAATAGAACTAAGGAAATTGGAAAATGTGTCCTAACACGTGGCAAATTTCAAATACTATGCTACTGCTAAACTGGTTACCTTCCCTTTCTCTTTTTTTTTTTTTTTTAGTTCGTTTCCACCATCTAAGTGATCACCGATCGTAGCAAACAGCTGTCATGTTATGCATTCTCGAGACTACACTGAGATTCGCAACTTTTTTTCTAATTGCTCTAAATAGTGAGCAATTAAAAAAATTTTTGATTAAATACAATCAACCTGATTACTTCAATTGATTACCCAATAAAATTACAAAATTAGTTACAGCGATCAACACAGCCTTAATCTTTGCCTATTAAAATAAATACTGCACAGTTATTAAATATAGAGGTAAGGAAAACAAAAATCAATAGATAAAGTTACAACCAATTTAAAAAAATTCTTTTTTTCTTTCTTTCTTTTAACGGGACCCTCCACTATTTGATTCTAATTGAAATATTGTTCCAGACACTTTTAAATTTGCCAGCTGTTGCTGTTCTTTGTGGACATTCAAATAAGAAAAAAATGTCTGGAATGTCCAACTAAGGCTCCAAAATTAATAATATTGACGTGGTCGATACCTATGATCATTGTGATGATTACTTTTACAATGATTACAGAAAAAAATGTATTCTAATGGCTTCGCAGCTCAGTCGGAAGTGCACAAATGTGTTTTTAAAAAAATTTAACTTTGAAATGTCTAGCTTATCTTCCTTTTTTTCTGCTTCCCTCTTCCTGGACTAACCTTCCCTTCATAATCTGTTCAAAAGTAAACGAGCAAAAAAGTTTTTTTTACCTAGCAAAATTTCAAAAAATTTTGTGAAAGATATAAATCAGTTTTTTTGCTAACTGACCAAAAAAAAACGAAACAATTTTAAAGAAGCAAAACTGATCAACTTGCAACTTTACAATAACCCCCTTTGCGATAACTTCTAACCAAACTCATCGTAAAAGTCTTTTTTGAACTGTGTTCAACTGAAAACCAAAATTAAAAAATTTACTGCTGCCCACGTGCTTTCAAAATTTATTGCTTTTTTCTACATTTATTCTTTAGGCCTCATGTCTCTTCAAAAAAATAAATAAATAAAAAAAAATAATTATTTTTTCTGCTCCGTTTACCAACTTCCTAAACCAACATTTGATGAAAACTACAGCAGTCTTAAAAATATTCTTCTTTCTTACATAGCAGTACCAATAGGGTGCAGTAGTAAGAGTAGTACTGGTAGCAGTGGCATCCCCAGAAATAAACATCGTCATAAAAAAAAAAGGAAGAATTAGTGAAAAACACTTCTAATATACAGCAATCTGGACTCATAATACATATAATAAGAGTGCAAAAAAAATGCAAGGAAAAAAGAGAAGAATACTGAGAACAATAAACTGAAAAAAAGTTCAGTGGAGATAGATGAAGAAAATAAGAGTAGAATTCCTTCTGATAAAGAAGTTAACCGTAAATGAGAAATGAAATTAAATTAAATTAAGGAGAACTACCCGTGAGGACCCGCTAAACATAAATGCTATAAATGTAGCAAAGTAACAACAATAACTTATTCATAGGTGAGTCATTAAATAGAGATTTTTTTGCAAGAAAAAAAGGTGAAAAAAAGGAAAAAACCTCTTAAATACTAGACAAATAGATACATAAATATGATACAAAACATTCCATCATCCAAAGAATAATAGAGGAGAGGAGAGTGATAGTTATATTAACTGAAATTCTGTTTATGATGTGGCGCCATCAGCTATGGATATCAGATACCACCATAGCCTTCTTTGACGATTAGTGATCAAGAGCCATCAAATAACGATAGTTCTCCTCAACAGAGTTGTATGACGGCTGTGCAAAAAAACCACGTCCAAAAATACCAAGTAATCCATGATACTAAAAAAATTTCTGCTGATTATCCCAATTATGATGACAAAGTTTAGCTAACAAATATACCTTTCTTTTCTATAGTCTCAGCTTCTACAACAACAATTGCCTAATTAAAATGAACATATTAAATTTGTCAAGAATTTTCTACAGTCAGCCATTAAAAGATTTAATTCAACTGCAACTCACCTTGCTAGATTTGGTCTCGTTCTCGGAAAGATCATTTGTATTCAATGGTGCTGATGGCTGATTATCAGTCAGTCGAGATGAAGTCATCAGTGTTTTCGGCTGACCATCTGTTGTGAATGATGGACCAGCCACTGAAGTTACCACAACAGGCATCTCCTTTTCAGTATTCTAAAATACCTTCAATCAAACTCCATGCCATACAAAAACAACTCCAATATTTTTCTACTTTCTCCTCAGGGAGAAAAAAAGATTAAATTGCATAAAAACGTTTGTCGGTCTTACCTTAGTGAATTTGAAATTAAACGTCGAAATTTTTGGTTCAGTAATATTGAGCAGCTCCAACAGCACCAATCGGTAGTTTTAAGTAGTTCGGTAATAGAAGCTTTTACACTGGATTTTAGCACATATATACACACAGTGCAGTGCTATTAATCTTCTGAATGGAGCTGCAAAAAGAATGAATTTTTGTGACTGCCAAACTGTTTATATACCCATAAATTTTATACAACAGCGTCAACAGTGGTTTAAAAATAAAAAAAAAATTTGACCAAGTACAAGCTTTTCAAATTTGACAAACTTTTTTTCAGCACCAAAATGCAAATAAACACGTCTAACAATGAGCTGAAGGTTCATGAAACAACTTAGAAATACTAATATGTCGTTACAGAAATACTGCTGAACCAGTAAAAAAAACCAGTTTTTGGTACGGCTCTTGAACAACGATAACAACCATAACAGCAATATTATTAGTTGTTTGTAAATAAGCAGTAACCGATAAAAACAATAAATAATAAATAAAGACAAGAAAAAACTTCTTGACAATTACTTTCCACGTTTTGTTATGTTCAAATACTTTTGGTCCCGTTTGCACCTCTTGGCCTCCACCGTTACTACTATCAGTTAAGTAGAGCAGGTGTTGAGCGCATTGTGGGTGAAGAAAGAAATGATGGAGGTAATACGGCGTTTTGCAGTTTTATAATCATTGTAGAGACGCCTATTCGGTTTCAGTATCAAAGCAAACGACTGCTGCTAAACCAGAGTACCTCTTACATATGTTGTTCAGTGTATAATAGGTAGTAGAGAAGAAATTGAAGATAGAAAAATAGGAAGTAGTAGTGCAGGACGATGCTGATGATGAGAAAGAAAACATAAATTGTTTGTCAACAGCTCAGACCGTTAGGCAGTTTGTTTCAACGTTTCTTTTTTTTTCCGCTTTTCTTTCTTGCTCCCTTCAGAAATTCCAAACTACAAGAATAAAATTTGATTTACCAGATAGGAAAATAACAGAGAACTTGAGTGAAACTGGCTCATCAAAGATGAAAACGAAGAAGAAAAAATGAAAGAAATGAACGGAAAGCCAAGCGCTTATCAGTTTAACACTTGGAGTCTCCCCGAAATCACATAAGAAAAACAATTGAACAAACGTTGGGATAGACCAACTGACGAACGCATTAGCTTTTATCTATCCACGCTGTGCACTAAGAATTTGAACGTATATCACTGGGTTTCCTAGGGAGAAGAAAAGGAACGAGAAACTCCCCATCGATCACGATGCCTTGGCTTCCCCGAACTTTTCTATCACGCCATAATGTTTTCGTTAAGCCATTAAAAATCGACGTTTGCCTCGTACATTATGCATCCTTTCCACTAAAAACCAATATTTGCGTCAGCGGAAAATGCCATTGGTTGCCATTGGACGCCAAATGAATTTGCCCTTTTGCAGTGGCAAACAATTAAATCAATGAATTGCGTGGCCGAAGTTTGTTGGTACCTAAAGGGTTGGTTGCCAACGCGACCAACAGAATTGCTGGGGGTTTCCCTGAACAGCGGTGCGGGGAACCCTCCTCAATAGACCGAGATCTCTCACCGTCAAATTTTCAAACAGCGCCATTTCAACGGCCTTACTCTATGACCTGGGCTATTGTACCGACAAAAATCACTTATTAGTCGTTGCCGATGTTTGTTGAAATTAAGAGACTACAGAAATCAAAAATCTTTAATTGCTGCTTATAAGTTTTTAACATTTTTTAAAACTTTTTTGCTGTTTATCATCAGTAGTTCAAACAGTTTGAAGCTCTCAAAAAAATATCTACTTTGTCTGCGCGACTCGCTCTAATGTTAACTCAATTTTTCATCCTTTTTCCCACTACTCAAACCAACAGATAAAAACAGCAATGAGGTTAAAAAAAGAAAAATAGCAAAGTGAAACAAAAAAAAAAAAAACTATTGAATTGTTTATACAATATATTTGTATTGATAAACAACAAATGAAAGAAAACTGGCAGTTGAAAAAGTTTGCTCCTCTACAAGACAGAATAGAAGAGCAAAAATGAAAAAAAAAAAAAAGAAAAAATAAAGAAAAATCGAGCAAAAATGGAGACGACTGGTGAAGTAAATTGTCTTGCTGTAGTCTGTGATAAAAATCAAATGTCAACATATATACGTTATTTACAGCAGACGAGAAGAAGGTCAAAAAAAAGTGGAGAAAAGTTTTAGTTTTATAAATTGAAAAATCATTGAAAATATACATCTTCAAATTGTCGTTTCACCAGATCCACTCATCTTATATATATACACATGCAAAACACACAAATGTACGGCAGATAAAGAAGCATTTGATCTACCGGGGACCTTCCAACTTTCTGAAATAACATTGTGAAAAAAAATTAAGCTGCAGGTGAAACAACTGTTACAGGAGACTGAGTTGTTTTTTTTCATTACTTTGCCAAAAATGCATCGATAATGACCTCAAAGATAAACAACGTTGGCCCTCAATTTAGCGAGCCGTTATATGCTTTTTTTAGCAATCAATGTCAGCAAAAAAAAAAAATTTTTTTTTGCAGATATAAAATAAGGAAGAATGAGCGTTAAAAAATGATGAAAAAAAACTAAACCAAAACTAACCCTAAATGGTAAATATTTATTCTAATTTTTTTTTGCCATCCTGTTTCCGCCGTTGCTCAAAAACTGCAGCAATATCGCTGAAGAATCAGCTGTAAACAAAGTTGACATCCTTCTTCAGGATTCTTAACTGTTCTCCTCGTTCAGCGCTTGAAGTCGTTGAAGAAAAAATTCAAAATATAACATCTTTTTAGCTTACTAAAACCATATGAAAGAGGTTTATGTTGTTCCAAACTTTAAATAGTTTTCGATAATTTTTAGTTGTCATTACCAATCTTACAATTGACTGTCGAAAATACATTTCACAAATTCTCTAACACTTTTTTATAAGAGGGAGTTTTTCGTTTTTAATGACACAAAAAACTGTTACTCACTGCAACAGTTTTGGGAGGCAAAAACAACATGTTCAGAGAAGTGCATAGGAGTACATGAATATTAATACAAAGATTATAAATATGCCGTAAAAAAATATATAAATATATATATATATATATAATTATTAAAATTATGTAAATAATTTCAATTTTAAAGATTGATAGAATTGCGATAGACGGTGTGCAAAATTATGAAAAATATATGCAGAGAAAAAGCGATTGAGCAAACTATAAAGAATTGGAACTGTTTATTATCGGTTTGGTTTAATATAACTGCTGCAAATTTGTTTCCGTTTTTCAATTTCAAAATCTAATTTAGAAGAATTTTTAGAATCTTAAACTGTTGTTTTTTGATTACATTTTTTTTTTCTAATTTTCAAAAATAATCAAAATTTTGTGATTTTTGATTTCAGTATGTTTTGTCAGTAAATTTTTTTGAAACTTTTTGACATATTTTTAAGTAAAATTTTTAGTCTACAATTGATGTGGGGTAATAAAGTAAAAACAAAAAAAAAAAAA